ATATAATATGTATTATAAATCAGAGTCGGTCGGAATCCCTCTTTCAAAAATTTCTGGTTCAATAAAAATTCATTTTAATATTAATCATTGCAAACTTTTCAATGGAAACAACATTTTTGTAAATAGGTAGGATCGAGTGCTTCGAATATATTTCTGCGGCGGGTTTTGTGTGGGTTTGGTTATACTAAATAAATGATTAATTGATATATAATTTTATTTAAAGTTGAAAATTAAGGCTATAATCAGAAAGAGAACTAATCCAGTGAGAGGGAAGATCAGGATGTTAGAAATTATAGGTGGGAAGAGGATTCCGAGAGCCCAGATATGATTTGAACTATTAAATTCAGAAAACCAAATATTATTTAATATATTATAAATTATTAAAAATATGATACAAATAAGCGGAATGCTAAAAAAATTTTTTAGATAAATTCAACATTAAATGGATAACAATATTGTCTAGACGGAATTTCATTTCAGCTTGTTTCAATAATTCGTTCTTTAAATCAGAACAATGGGAAAAGAAATTTTAATAAGGTGTAAATCTAAATTGTTTTTTATCCATATTAATAATAAATTAATGCTTAGATTTAAAAATGTTAACTATCTACATAACAAAAAATACGATTAAAATTAATTTTTATAATCATTATTGTTGAAGCGACCTAATGCGACATTTATTGGACATGTGGAGTCGACTTAGATTCACCGAAGATTTAAAACCGAAGATGTAACCGAGTATTTAAGAAAAATTTAAAAGTAATTCATAAAATGTAAGACAGCAACATAAGATGAAGTCTAAGCAAAAATTTAGATTGATTTTGAATAATTTTGATTTGATTAATTTTGATTAAAATTTTAGATTGTTGAATAATTATAAAATTTATAATTTATATTTTTATAATTATACAAATTTATAATTTATATATTAAAAAGATTAAAATATAAAAAAATGTAGTGTAAATTTTAATTATTTATTAGTATAAATTTCAATGTAACGAAGTTATATTTTGATATTTATGATTTTTATAAATTAAGTTGAAAGAAAATGGAGAATTACCAGCAAACCGAGATCGAATTAGGCGAAGATCCCCTAGACCAATACGTATTGAAGATACCAACAACCATACTTAATAATTTGAGATTATTTTAGATTTAAAATAGTTTAATTCCTCTTTATTTTCATAAATGACTTCTCTTATTATACCAGCTATAAAATTCTCACAAAATTTAAAAATTCTAAAAAAAAATTCTAAATTCTCACATTCTGGCACCTCTTTATTTCTGAATAATTCAATATATTAAGTTTCCTAAGCTTACTTCAGTACATTTTTTAACAACATTTATAAATTACTTTCGATAAAATTTCAAAGTGGGGCTATAATTTTGTGGAACATTTTAAAAATCGTGCAACGAACCGCTCCTCCAATCGAAATAAACGATTTTTTACAAAAGTATTTTAAGATGTCCAAAAATAAAATTCCAGCGAAAAAGTACCTTCTCTATCCATCATGCTCTCTTATTTATAAATATTACCGACAAATGCGTTCGAAGGATATATTTCGTTATATAAAGTGAAAATTGTAAATATAATAAAATTAACAATTGTTTCCAAATAAACAATATAGATAAATATATTAAGATATGTTAACTAATAATTTAATAAAACAAATTCATTTAATGAAAAGTATTTCATTAAAAAAATTTATGAATTCATTTATGTAATTAAAAATATTCACTTAACAAAAAACCATATACTAAATATTCATTTAAAATAATATGAATATAAAGTATTCATTAAAATTAATAAACCTTTAGATCGAATAAATCAGAAGACCTAATAGTTAATCCTAATTATAATGTAGATAATTAAATTTATATTAAATTATATTTGTGATTGACACTTTGTTAATAATTTATATGTATTAAATGGTAAATGTGAATCAGCTGTAAGAATCTGTATATTGAGAAAAAAAAATAATTGAATTCAAAAAACTAAAAAATTAAATTGAATAAAATCTGCGAATGGGAAGCAGTAAGTCATTATTTATTTATTTAATCAACTTTTTGGGAAAATAAAATGTAGATTCAAGCTGTATAAGAAAACAATAAAACCAATTGATAAAAGAACCACTTAACCCCATACAGAAGCGGCACAAAAAATAATAGATTTACCAAATATAGATAAAAACGATATTAAATTTAACACAATGAGCTATTAAAATCAAACAATAATTACCAACTAATAATTTTAATTTTATATTCATCAATTTTAACTTGCAAGGTGCCGAATTATAAGAGGTGCCGAATGGATAATACTAGCAGGAAGATTTCTTGGATAGAAGGTATAAAATAACATAAAATATTTACCGTCGTTTGAACGTTAGCTTAATAAATACAATCTTAGTTTAAAAATAATTTTTCTTAAATTACTAATTTGCAAAACTAATTTTCAATAGATTTTTTCCAATTAAAGGTGTCCAAAGTAAATGACCATTGTTTTAAAGGTAGTGGTAATTGCTACTATCCTATCGCGTATTTTATTTTTTTTTTAAATGTAACAATGAATGCATTTTTTCTTTGAGCATATATTAAATAATATGTTAAATAATGAAAGCTAAACACTGAATGATAAATACATTAATAATAAATAAATTATGAATATTGAAAGAATTTCGTAATTTGGGTTTTTGTAAGCGATAATTGAAATTAAAAAGAAATACAAGAGAAAAATCTATTAATAATACTGTATTATTATAGTATTTATTAATTTACTAATATTTATTATTTAAAATATATAATATTAATACTAAAGCAAGACATTAAGATAATTAAAGAACGTTGTATATAAATGATAGACGATTGCGATGCGAGAATTAAATTTAAAAATTTACTGAATTCATAGTATTCTAAATATTACTAATAATTTTTATTATTTTAAACTAAAAATTTTTTGATAAAAATCAATTATTTATGAAAATAAATAAATATTGCAATTAAAACATTTAATAAATAAATTATACAACAGGAGAACATCAATACTTTGAGGATGAAGATGAAATATTTTTTTAAGCAAATGGGAATGGTATAAATGGAAAGAAATGAGTGACTTATAAATATATTTTTGCTAAATTAAATTTTTTTAATTTCTGAATTTATTTTGTAAATTTGATAAGTGTAAGTAAAAAAATAATGTAGCACGAATTAAATGTATTTTGTTTTTGAAGTTTTATGATACTGAAAAAATTCAAGTATCTAAATTGAAAGAGTATATATCTGAAAATTTGTAAAATTATATAATTTTAATATAATAATTTAAATTATGAAAAATTTAAAAATTTATTTGAAAAATCAAAAAATAATTATAATTGTTTCGACTTTGGCAGCCTCAGTACGAAAGAAGGTCCAAAGACGAAAAAACGATGAAACGGAAGTACAAAGAGATAAAATCTAAAAATATTAAAAAATTCCATTAATCATAAAATTCCCAAGTTTAAGATTTTATTTCTTTTTTTATTATTCTTCCATTAATTATTGTCGTTCCCTTAAGATTTCCACAATAATATATTTGTTACACTAAAATTTTCCTCTCTTTTCTCTAAATACTTTTGACCTTCGTTCACATATAAAATGTAGTAATCGGCGCTCATAGGCGTTCTTTTTACCAATCACTTTTTTCAAAAAAGATTTTTCACTTTTCTAAATTGATTCTTCTATTTTTTATAATAAAAATTGGCTTTAATAAATAAATTATTTTTTGAATAAAAATTGTTTGGAAAAAGGTTGGAAGAAAATTAATCGAATAAAAAATTATAGAAATTTCAAAAGAAGAAATTTCTCGTTCCAAAAAATTGTTATTGGAACAAGTGGCGAGCACTTAAAAAATAAACTACCTGCAACAACAAAAATTTTTGGAGGCAACAAAAAATATTAAATTAATAAAAATTTCTATTGTCGATTGGTGGAAATAAATTGAACAACATATTGTTTGAACAAGGACAAAAGGTAGATTTAGTGTCCCTTCAAATAAAATAAAAAATAAAATTTTTTGAAAAAAATTATTTTGAAAAATTAAAAGAAATTTAAAATAAATAAAAATGAGTAAACCGCTGAAGCTTTTCACAAAAAGAGCTTCGAAAACGGTACAAACGCTACTTGAGCGAGAGGTTCCAAAAGAACCTGAAGATTCTGAACAAAATTCAGAATTCTTCCTTGATGTCTGCGAAACACTCGACCAGCTAAATACAGAAATTGAAGAATTAGCGGAGGCCTACAACGATTTAAAAGAAGCAAACGCGAAATGGATTTCGTTAATTCAAAGAGGGTCGCAAGCAGAAAAACAAACGCTCGAAAAAGCGTATGAAGAAGTAGCAGAAGACTATAATATCGAAGAGCGTCTAAATGAAGCGGAAATAAAATTAAGAAGTCTAAAAGATTTAGAAAGGAAGTTAAAAACCGAAAAAAGAAAGGAAGAAAGAAAAGAGAAATCGATAATTAATTCTACAACACAAGTACAACAAGCTCTTGGATTTAGTTTTAAGCCACCGAGGCAAGAAATTGGAAAATTCTCGGGTAGGCAGATAGACTGGCCCGAGTGGTGGCAAATCTTCAACGCTACAGTACACGAGACCGACGGAAGTGAAGAAGTAAAACACGCGGTTCTAAAAAAATGTACTGGGAGAAGCAAAATCACTTATAGAGGGATTAAAATTAAGTGATTATGAAGTAGCCATCGATTTACTCAAACAAAGATATGGAAATGAGGAAGAATATACACGGCATTTACACACACAATTAGAAAGTTTAAAAATTTGCCAAAATTTTCAAGATTGTAAGAAATTCTCGTTAGATGTTGAAAGAATATGCCGCCTTTTGGAAAATAACGACCAAAACATCTCAGACCAAGGAATTTGGATGAGCTTAGAAAAAAAGCTCACAATTCCCATTTTGCGCGAAATTCAATCAAAGAAGGCGATTGTTAAAAGTAATGGAGCTTTATGGGACACCGCAGCTTTCAGAAAAGCTTTGCGTGAAGTAATAGAGAAAGAGGAACTTGTCCTCTCCATTCACGCAAAATCAAACGAAAAAGTTGAGCAAAATATCCAAAAAAGCCAAAGAAACTTCCAAAATCTAAGAAGAAATAATGAAAAGGAAGTAACTAGAACATTCGCAAATACTGAAGCAAAAAATAGAAATTTCAATACACGCGCAAAATATAACAAAAACAACAACAACCAAAATCAAAATAAGCCTGAAGGTGGGAGGAGAGCCCCAATATACCCTTGTATATTTTGTGGAAAAAAGGGACATTGGGGGGATGAATGCAGACAAACTAGTACAGCGAAGGATCGCAGGCAAAAATTAATAGAGCTAAAAAGATGTATTTTTTGCATTAAGCCAGAGCACATGGGGAATTGTAGAAGACCTATCAGATAATATTTGTATTTTTGTAATTAAATAAGAATAAATACAGGTAGATTTAAATTTAAAATTAACTTAAAATGTTATTATTAATATTATAATTATAAATACAATCCAATTTTTATGAAATTGAGAAAAACTATGACTAAAACGATGATTTTGTATTTTTGTGCAGTTTTATTTGAAATGCACATTAGTTTATTTTTACAAACGAATTGTTAATGAAACATAATAACAAAATAATATTTGTGAGACTAAAATATGAGTTCTATAAAATGAAATATGTTATCTTAGAGTTGCGTCGAGCTGTCCTGATTTTTTATTCGAAAATTTACTTTTTATAACTATTAAATATATAATAAATAAAAATATTATAAAGAAAAAACTACAAAAACGATGTTAAAAAAATTCTAGCAAGTTGTTTTTCCGAATCATAATGTTGCTTTTTGGAAATAAAAGATATTCGTATGAATTTCGACGAAAATGGCGATATTAGTGAAGTATTAGTAAAGCTTTAAATTCATTTAATAAAGCTGAATTTAAAATTCATAAATTTCAAGTTAATGCAAGATATGTCTATGCTCGCACAGGTTCTATAAAAATATACATCTACAAAAAATCGATATAATAATTAAGTAAAATGTTTATTATCCATATAATCTTAACATCTATGAAAAATACATCTCAAATTTATTAATCATCAAATCTTTACTTGCGAATAATTATTAAGATATTTGGCTATTTAGTTAGTGCCAACAGAAAACATTAAAAAATAATGGAAATAATAACTAATTTCATTAATATGTACTTAGTAAATTAGATATTAAACTATTTAGTAAGAAGGGAATAAATAGTATATTTTCTTATTTAATTATAATTAATTAATTTTATCTTAAATGAAGATACTAAGCTTCGTTCATACTACTAATAAATATTAAATTAATTAAAGCTGCTGTAGTTTTTTTAAAGAAATTTCTATATGTATTATCATATCCATTTTAATTTGGTTGTTTACTATTATTTTTTAATAAAAGACAGTCATAAACAAAAACATTTTAAAAATAATAAACGGACATTAAATGAAAAAATTAATTATGTATGACGATATATGTACATTTAGCAAAAAATAGTAATTTTAATTAAAAAAGACAACAGTTCTTAGAAAAAAATTAAAGAAATTCAGCATGCAAGAGTTTAACAAGTTATTTAATTAAGATAAAAGTAAAATCAGTATAAAGCAAGAATAAATAAAATTTAAAAAAGTATGGAAAATCTAGCTTTTTAAAATTTTTAAATTTATTAACATGTCAAAAAAATTTAGTGTAAATGTACTGGAATACGGAGGTTGTAAAATAAATTTGGCCCATGCCACTTAATAATAACCACTGGGTCATGTCTATTGCCTTTATGGGAAAAAAAGATTTTTATTTTTGACCACCTTTTTACTACAAATCTGATAAAATTCTATTCATGAGCTAAATAATAATTTTTAATGTGGATTCAATACGAACATCTTTAAAGAAATCTAACACTAAATAATTAGAAATTTACAAAAATGAAATCTAAATATAAGTAAATGCTTTAAAATTATAAATATAATTCATATTATTTCATATTAAAAAAATTTCTCAAAATTTAATTAAATTTATTTTAAAAATTCACAATTAGAAAAGAATGAAATTAAAGGTGTAAGAACAAGTCTAAGATAATAAATATTAATCAAAATTCTTAAATTTTTTACATAAAAATATTGCATGATAATATTAATCTAATCACAAATATAATATAACAAAACAAAAATTTAATTATTTACAGCTTATGCTAATAAAATAAAAGACAAATGCAAATATACAAATTAGATGAAAAAAGGTTACAAAGAAAGTTAGAAAATTGACCGCCATATAATTTGTTACAACATGAAAATTAAACATTTGTTTTACAAACATAAGTATCCACTAATGAATTAAAGTTTATATTATGTCCAAAGGATTATTTAGGTTTTGTATATAACTTAAAAATTTAATATAAAATGTGTGCTATTTTACTTGATTTCGATAAAGCAAGAATTTAAAATTAGTATAATAAATTGTAATTTATCTTTATGTTATACAAGAATAAAATTAAGTAATATAAATACCTTTTTTGGTCAAACAAACAAATAAAAAAAATAGAAGGAAAAATTTTGCGCAACACTACACGCCAATAATAACAAACAGAAAAAATACAAAAATGGAAAAATAGGGAATTAGGGAAAAATGCAAATAAAATGACTCTTAACTATGAAAACTTGAGCGATAATAAATAGAATTAAGAGGAAAGTAATAAAATAATAATTTCACAAGATTAATAGCAGATGTTATTATTGCGCTTAAAAAATAAATAAATCAAAGTCAATCTTATTGGATTACTTATTACCATTTTTCCTTCCCTCAAAATAATTTTTATTTTAGTATTTTTTAAAGTTTTTAGAAAATGTCTCTTAAATGTCTAAAACACATATATATATAATATATATGTATATACTTTCACCATGAATTGCATTGACTAATCAACAAGGCTTCTAAGTAAAATTTGTTAAGAACTTAGACTCAATGTATTTTGCATCAGAAATATAATTTCTCTCCAAAAGGGTAAATTAACTAAATAAGAAAACATTGACAAATATTTTTTAATATTTTTGTATTTAAAATTATTTATATCTAATTTGTTTCTAAATAATGGTTATTTTATCTATAATAATGGATAATTCCAACACAATAGATCAAACTGAAAGAATTTACTTATTGCCTGGAAGAATTTACGTCCATCTGCTTGGATTGATGGCAAAGGATTAGATTAAATTAGACTCAACTCGATGAAGCTTTAGACTCAGCTCGACGAGCTCCTTCGAACGAGGTATAATTTGCATATACGAATTTTTCACCCCAAAAAACAGTTGGTCCCCCCCCCTATGATTAGTCCGCGGACTAATTTTGGTGTCATTCGACTCAACTTGATGAGCTCTTTCGTTTGACATATAAATCATAAAAATCTAAAATCCCCCGGTAAAGTGTACTTTAGCCAAATAAATTGCAAATAAAAACAATCGCCTTGAGAGTTTCTGGTTTAGAATATACTTAACAAAAAACCATATACTAAATATTCATTTAAAATAATATGAATATAAAGTATTCATTAAAATTAATAAACCTTTAGATCGAATAAATCTGAAGACCTAATAGTTAATCCTAATTATAATGTAGATAATTAAATTTATATTAAATTATATTTGTGATTGACACTTTGTTAATAATTTATATGTATTAAATGGTAAATGTGAATCAGCTGTAAGAATCTGTATATTGAGAAAAAAAAATAATTGAATTCAAAAAACTAAAAAATTAAATTGAATAAAATCTGCGAATGGGAAGCAGTAAGTCATTATTTATTTATTTAATCAACTTTTTGGGAAAATAAAATGTAGATTCAAGCTGTATAAGAAAACAATAAAACCAATTGATAAAAGAACCACTTAACCCCATACAGAAGCGGCACAAAAAATAATAGATTTACCAAATATAGATAAAAACGATATTAAATTTAACACAATGAGCTATTAAAATCAAACAATAATTACCAACTAATAATTTTAATTTTATATTCATCAATTTTAACTTGCAAGGTGCCGAATTATAAGAGGTGCCGAATGGATAATACTAGCAGGAAGATTTCTTGGATAGAAGGTATAAAATAACATAAAATATTTACCGTCGTTTGAACGTTAGCTTAATAAATACAATCTTAGTTTAAAAATAATTTTTCTTAAATTACTAATTTGCAAAACTAATTTTCAATAGATTTTTTTCAATTAAAGGTGTCCAAAGTAAATGACCATTGTTTTAAAGGTAGTGGTAATTGCTACTATCCTATCGCGTATTTTATTTTTTTTTTAAATGTAACAATGAATGCATTTTTTCTTTGAGCATATATTAAATAATATGTTAAATAATGAAAGCTAAACACTGAATGATAAATACATTAATAATAAATAAATTATGAATATTGAAAGAATTTCGTAATTTGGGTTTTTGTAAGCGATAATTGAAATTAAAAAGAAATACAAGAGAAAAATCTATTAATAATACTGTATTATTATAGTATTTATTAATTTACTAATATTTATTATTTAAAATATATAATATTAATACTAAAGCAAGACATTAAGATAATTAAAGAACGTTGTATATAAATGATAGACGATTGCGATGCGAGAATTAAATTTAAAAATTTACTGAATTCATAGTATTCTAAATATTACTAATAATTTTTATTATTTTAAACTAAAAATTTTTTGATAAAAATCAATTATTTATGAAAATAAATAAATATTGCAATTAAAACATTTAATAAATAAATTATACAACAGGAGAACATCAATACTTTGAGGATGAAGATGAAATATTTTTTTAAGCAAATGGGAATGGTATAAATGGAAAGAAATGAGTGACTTATAAATATATTTTTGCTAAATTAAATTTTTTTAATTTCTGAATTTATTTTGTAAATTTGATAAGTGTAAGTAAAAAAATAATGTAGCACGAATTAAATGTATTTTGTTTTTGAAGTTTTATGATACTGAAAAAATTCAAGTATCTAAATTGAAAGAGTATATATCTGAAAATTTGTAAAATTATATAATTTTAATATAATAATTTAAATTATGAAAAATTTAAAAATTTATTTGAAAAATCAAAAAATAATTATAATTGTTTCGACTTTGGCAGCCTCAGTACGAAAGAAGGTCCAAAGACGAAAAAACGATGAAACGGAAGTACAAAGAGATAAAATCTAAAAATATTAAAAAATTCCATTAATCATAAAATTCCCAAGTTTAAGATTTTATTTCTTTTTTTATTATTCTTCCATTAATTATTGTCGTTCCCTTAAGATTTCCACAATAATATATTTGTTACACTAAAATTTTCCTCTCTTTTCTCTAAATACTTTTGACCTTCGTTCACATATAAA